TCTGCCCACCAGGCCCCTTGGCTGATCGTTTGGGTCTCACGGGCCTCTGCGGTGGGCCTGGGCAGGTGTGGAAAGTCCTCTTTCTACAGAAGGCGGGTCTGAGCCCCAGAGAGGCAGCTCGCGGGGGACCACTGCACCCGTGGGTGACCCAGAGAGAACTCGTTCAGCCCGGCCCCGGAGCTGAGCCAAGGTCTGACTAATCAGATTAGCTGCTGGAAAGAGTGAGGCAGCTGAAAAGCTACAGGATGAGCTAGAACACAGGACACAGGCCGCGTGAAGACGGGGGGGGGGGGGGGGGGGGGGCACAGAGGGCGGTAACTTTGCACGCAGAAAAGCGTCTGTATGTCTAGAAGGAGAAACACCAAAACCGGGGCAGGGAATAGCAGAGACTTGGAAATCCGCTTTAGGTGTTTTGGAGCAGGAGGGTGTTTTCAAGAGTCAGGGTACGACGTTGCCAGAAGTGGAAGGCCGTCCCTGACATTCGGAAACGTCTGGGTGGATGGCCTTGTCCTGTCCTGGCACCTCTGTAACCGGAAGCAAGCGTGGCTCCAGTGGGAACCATCATGGCAGTCAGCCACCGGCGGGAAACCCCCAGGCGAGGGAGAAGCCCTGTCCCCAGAGAATCTGGGTGTGCCAGGCTCACTGGTCTGGGGTGGGGGTGGCATCCATGTGGCACCGCTGGGCAGGGGCCGTAGGCTGGCCCTGCTTCCTGCCACCCGAGGGACCTCTGATCACCGGCTGCTGCTGCTCACGGCTGCCCCCCGCAAGCCCCCTGAGCCTCTGAAACGCTCCCGCCCAAATTTGCTGTGGCAGGTACTTTCCGGGTCCTGCCCAGGGCAGCTGCGCCCACATTCCAGCCCTGTGGCTCCCTAGCCTGCCCTTCTCCAGGGTCCCTTGTGGGACTTGGCCTGGGGGACTCAGGGCAGGAGGTGTCTGCTCCCAGGTTTGGGTAGCCCGGCCCTGGCTCCCCCCGACAGGCGGGGCTCTCTCCGCCGCGGCACGCCCTGTGACTACCCCTGTTCCCATGTGGAAGCTGGGGGTGCCTACGTGCCCGTGGGTGCTCTGAGTCTTCCAGAGGCCGCTGAGCCGCTCTGTCCTGCGCATATGCCTGGCGACCCCCTGCCCTGCAGCCCGGCTGACCCCTCAGCCCGGCTGACCCCTCAGCACGGCCCCTCCCCAGGCAGCTGACCTGGATTCCTCCGGAAGGGCGAAGGATGTGTGTGGTGGGCGAGCGGTGATGGGTGCGTGGTCTGAACAGTTCACCACCCACGCTTGCACCCACCCACGGAAGAGCCTTATTTTTAGGAATTGGCACACATGTCGCAGGGCCTGGTGGGTCTGAGATCTTGGGGCCGGCAGTGGGGTGGACACCGGGGGAGAGCTGCCAGCATGCCCAGAGGGCGGGTCTGAAGGGAGCAGAGTCCCTGACACAGCAGGGCCGCCCTGGGCCCCGCCCTTGGCCTGGCAGGTGCCGCGGCTCTCTGACCTTCAGCTGGGCCCTCCCTGGCCTCCCAGGGTCCACCCCCGCCTCAGATACAGTGGACATGGGACCTGGCAGCTGTAGCCTCCTCTGAGGCCTCCTCCCTGTCTGTGTCCTTGTTACGAGGACACCACTGATGTGCCCGAGGCCCCCAGCTGCGACGGCCTCCTCTGAGCTGGTTCCACCTCCTGTAACCGGGGCTTGGGTGGATATGTTTCGGGGAGACCCTTTGCAGCCATTATGTGGCCCTCATGTGGCTTTTCTCGCCACTGCTCTGCGGTTCCCCCATTATGCACAGGGAGGGCCCCAGCCGCAGCCCAGCCGGCCGGCCGCTGAGCCCGAGTGCGGCCCCTGCTTCCCTGGGAGGCCCCGGCCTCTCCCAGCCAAGCTCGCCTCATTGGGTCCACACCAGGCCTCGTTACTCCAGCACTCCTTACGCCGTGTGCCTGCGCAGGGCTGGGCCGCACGGGCAGTTCCGTTGGAGGCTCCGGGAGCCCAGAGACGCCCTCAGGCAGCTCTGGGGAGTGCCTCTCACTGGCCTGCTGGCCTGACACGTGGCTCTCAGCCTGGGTGAGGGCGCTGCCCTGACCCTGACCACCTCGGGCGGGCAGTGAGCGTGCACACGCGTGGGTGGGTTCCCTCACACCACCTCTGCAGGAGCAGAGGCCTTAGCGTATCACCATCGCGGCTCTGGCCTCGAGATGGGGTGAGAGGAGGCCGTTCCAGGGCGTGCGTCCCCCGGTCGGTGCTGGCGCCCGACGCCACGGAGCAATGCCACGAGCCAGGCCTGGTGGGCGCCTGTGGCTGCTGACTGAACCGTGGCCCTCGCCCTGGAGAACGGCCGAGGGAAGGGCAGGGCCAGGAGGGGTGTGCTCCCCCAGTGCTTACTAGAGTTCTGGGGACAGCACGGCGCAGCTCTGGGGGTGACACTGACCCGGTGGCCGGGACACACAGTGGCAGCTTCCCTGCACCTGCTGGCCAGCAGGCACCTCGCCACTTCCTGGGGGCCATTGTGGGGGGCACTGGGACCTCCAGTAACTCCCCTTCTGATCTCGGCTGCAGGAGAGCGTTGTCATCCTCCTCGGTGGGCCTGTCACCAAGCCCAAGTGGCTCCATTTCTGCACCCCCCATTCCCAGGGCATCCTCTCAGCTGCTGCGCGCCCCGTCAGGCAGGACCCCAGGCTGAGCGCCCACACCCACACGTCATCCCGAGCCGAGGGTTTGTGGGGCGACCCTCGTGGCGCCTGGAGTTGCATGCCCGGAGTGCGGGAGGGCAGCGGGCGGGGGCAGGGAAAGGGCCTGGCGTCGGGAGCTGGAGGCCGGGCCGGTTGGGGTCCGGTCGCTCCCTGGGGAGCCGGGCAGGTGACACCCCAACAGTTTCCTATCTCTAAGTCGGGGCAGTTACAGCTGCCCCAGAGGCCTGTGGCGAGGGCCAGGCGGTCACAGCTGACCGTGTGGAGCTGCGGCCACCTGTCTCCCCCCGCAGCGCGGCCTGCTTCCTCTGCAGAGGTGGGACGCTTGCCCGTCCGGCATGCGGCTGACAGTACAAGCTGGTTTTTAACTCTTGGGGCACTATTTGAAATAATTGTAGACGTTTCTCAGAAGTGCCTCAGCAGCAATTCTACTTATAGCGCCCCCTCTTTATTGCCGGGAGACGCAGATACGTGAAGTTGCCTTTTAAAGCATTTGAGAGTGACAAGCGGGCTGCCCTGCTCTCCTCACGCATCTGCCCCTCTGCCCCCCGAAAAGGAGCGGTGCTCCCAGCTCCGACCAGCGCCCCTGCCCCTGCCCCCCCCAGCTTCTGTCTGGGCCTCTGGGTTGGGCTGCGCTGGCTTTTCGCCCAGGGGGGCCTGCGGCTGTGACCCAGGGGGGCGCTGCGGCTGCGACCGGCTACTCCCATCCCATCCGCCTCCTCTTGTCAAGTCATGCACATTGCAGGTCCGGCCCTTTTATGGCTGAGTGGGAGTCCCCACGGGCACACTCCAGTTGGCACTTACTGTCTAACAACCTGTGAGACCTGGAGTGGCCGGCTGCGGCTGGCAGGCGGCCTGGGGCGCCCCCAGTGTGGGTCTGCGCTGCGTTGCCCAGTGCTTCGGGAGGGTGGGGGGGCTTGCCTCTGGGACGCCGCCGCCCGCGAAGTTTTTCGGGGCTCGGGAAGGGCAGCTCACGAGGAGGGAGAGCTGGCGC